CAAGCGAGCGAAGACAGTGCATGCCTTAGACCGCTCGGCTACCGTGACCGGCAGTGTATTACATTAAAAGTGAATATATTTGTTGTGTGGCGGTTAACCTAACTCTACATACATCTCAAACAGAGAACCGACAAATTCTATGCAAACATAGCACAAGGGAATTAATGTAACGAAAGGGACATTCATCTTATTCTCTGTCATAGGTTAGATGCTGACCAATTCTTAGCTTATTTAATGACACTGTTTCCACTGCATAAGTTATGTAACGATGAATTAGACGAGAGGATTATTGTCATTCTTCATGTGAAGCCAGGCTTCAAACAGGAAGATTCAGCAGTGTGATCCGTGCAAACGGAGATAACAATTTACCAGACTACACGTCGTCACATTCTAGAGGACAGTACTCCTCACAGTCAGCTCAACGGGAACAACGAAACTGGAGAGATGGGAAATGGCCGGTAGCAGTGAACATAACCTCCAAACACTCATCCGAGATAGCCCCTAAACACAACGAGATTCGGACCGATCCTCATTATGTAACAACTGTAAAGTCGTCCCATTGGTTAGGAGGCTGGGTGGATCCCAGGCGCTGTTTAGAAGAGAAAAATATCTAGCCCCTACCGGGAATCTAGCCCCAGCTGTTCAGCCCGTATCCCACGGCTATATACCGACAGATCTGTCCCGGTTCCTTCATTACGTAATAATCTATGTTACCTTCCTCGTGCACTCGTGACTGCTGTAATCACGTGATAGCCGTCTTTATGATCTGTCGCAGCAGAAATGAATAAACTTCTCAGAAAATTCCCGTTACGGGACAAAAGCGTAGTTTTATAGCTTGAGGTTCTCACATCGGTGGTTATGAAGAGTTCTGTATTCTGTATATATCGTGTGTAGACAGTTGAAAGTGAATCGATGTTTCGAAGGAACATTTCAGGAACGAAAATAGCAGGGAGCAAGCTCTCATTTTGAGATCCTGAAGATGGAACGGTATTTTTCTTCGAAACATAGTTTGGATTTCAACGGGCTACATGGCGTAATATCGAAGGAGGTAGAAGACTTCAAGAGCACAGTTATATTCGTTTCGCTGGCATTTTGTTAATGTTCTATCTGAACAGGAACTGCTACAGCAAAAACTTTCGAAAAAGAAGACCAAAAATAAACGTGTATATTTTATAATGTTGAAAAGAAATCTGTAGGATTCATGCTTTTAGTCCCATACAGACGGAACGGAGTAATGGATTGCAGATAAAATAAACAAGAAAACTATAAAATGGATTTTAAACAGAGGCTAATGGGTTCATTTCAATATCAGCTGCTACAGCCCACTGACACCACGTAGGACTGACATTCCGCGTATGAAAATAAATTTCATTTTTTCGATTTTAAATCCCCAAATTGCTGTTTACCAGGTGAAAACTGAAACTCGTAAAACGGTTGTTTTCTTCCGTTATACATAGTGGGATCCCTCATTTCTTTAAAATTTTGGGAGCACAATTTATATACAGCTGCTAAGCAAAATGCCACTTGTATGTGGATGCAATTGCAATGGCCATGCATTACCAAATACATTCAGTAGGTAAATTCGAATATAAAATAAAATCCGATAAATCTGTTCTTCTGACTGCGTGGTAAAATTTGCCTATGCTTAATTAACTAAGGACCTCCTCTGTGGTCTAGTGGTTAGAGTTCCTGGCAACAGAATGTCATGTCTTTTCAGCGAAGAGTAACAATTTCGTTAAAAGTAAATGCGTTCCATCCTGAAGATGACCGAGAGGTCGAAACATGTTGTGAGACTACAGGGGGCACGCGGTAGCGTAATTGATTGAAGGGCTATGCTACAAGCTGGATGGTCGCGGGTTCAAGTCCCGATGAGATCATTGGATGTTTTTTAAATTTACCTAATCGTTCCAGCCACATTACGGCCTTGGGGTCGACTCAGCCTCCAACAGAAATGAGTACCAGGAATCTTCTTGGGGTAAAGAGCGGCCGGTGCGTAGGGCTGACAGCCTTACCGCCATCTGTGAGCCGATTGTCTGCATAACGTGAGAATCTCAACATCTGACAACCCTATGGGCCTTCACGGCCTGGAACAGGGATACCTTTACTTTTATAATTACTATAATTGTATGTTGTGTAGAGGTTGCATCATGTGCATATTCATACGCGCGTCCTTCTGTCAACAAAGTTTCTTTTCATACACCATTATTCAACATGACAAATGTTATCTCATTAAATTTAGAAAGAATATCACCTCTAACTCAGGAATTCGTGTTCTAATGGCTGTACAGTTCCACAGTATATTAATGTCACGAGAAAAACACCTGAAAAATTTATATACAGATTTTCACTTGGTATGAAACATTATGGCCGGTCACGGTAGCCCAGCGGTCTAAGGCATGTACTGTCTTCGCTCGCTTGGAAACCGGGATCGTGGGTTCGAATCCCACTCATGGCATGGATATTTGAGCGCGTTTTTCTGTGTTTGTATACAGTTAGAAGCCTTGCGACGAGCTGATCACCCGCCCAAGGAGTCCTACCGAATGTGTAAGATCTAGAAAAACCGAAGTGAGCGGAGAAGTTCATGGAGGTAGGCCTAGGCCCACTGGGGCTGTAGTGCCAAGGAAAAAAAATGAAACATTATGAGGTATCAAGTGTTTCACGTTCCGTTGACATATAAGCTTATTCACGATTTATTCTCGTCTCCAGACGACAAATGCGAACAAGAAAGGGCAAGAATTTCAATTATAGCGTTAAAGTTCTTATTGCCTTCAGTTGCAGTGTGGGTTATTATATTTTATGTTGTGGTTCTCCTTGTGCATTCACTGACAAGCTGTATGTTATTCTTCAGTTAAGTACGAGTATTGTTGTGTTCTGAAGCTTATTTCAGTTTCGTTTCATGTTCGGAAAGTAATAATTGTAGTCTTATTATTTTATTTGGTTCATCCTGGACAGTCACACTAGCAATATTAAAAAAATGTTAAGCAAATCCGTTCAATGTGATTGATAAAATGTTTTTCTTTCTTTACTTTTTAATCTTTCATCCTTGACATGTTTCGGTCTTAGAGACCATCTTCAGAAGGATATATCAATAGAGGCAGAAACTACTATTAAAATGAGTTTGGTCAATATCAATACATACATACGATATAATCACAATTCCATGAATATAAAATTTGATCCTTTAACAACTACAGCGACTTGCATGAATACATTAAAATATTCATAAATTATTACAATTAGTCTGTTTATAAGTGTGGTTTAATATAAATTTGTTAAAATTTTTAGAACCAATTTGCTTCGTGTCATTTATGTTGCCTTTCCTTGAAGAAAGATGAGTGTTTACCGCGTCGTGGTTCCGTCGTTTGAAGACCTGGGCTCTTTAGTGTCATCCTGTTGTTCGGGCAGCGCTGTGTTGTTCTAGATTTTAACAAAGTTTTTTAAACCACAATTGTAAATAAACTAATTACAATAATTTATAAATATTTAAATTTATTCATGCACATCGATGTAGTTGCTAAAGGTTCAGATTTTATATAATATTGTATGTATGTATTGATATTGACCAAACATATTGTAATAGTAGTTTCTGCCCGTATTGATATATCCTTCTGAAGATGGTCTCTTAGACCGAAACATGTCAAGGATGAAAGATTAACAACGAAAAAAAAAACATTCTATCTGTCTTACTGGACGGAGTTGATTAACCTCTTGTAATAATTGTAGCCTTATTGTTTGCTATGTAGAGCATTTATGCATATTTGACCTGCACCAACCCACACACTTCTTACTCCCGGAATTCTAACCAAACACCAAATTTCCCGCCATTACAGGGAAAGTGTGAAAACACATAAATTCTTGTTGTGTGCCCGCTGAATGTGATAAACTAACAAGCTTAAGTGGAAACCGAGCTTCGCACAGCGGTGATTTTGACGAGTTCTATCTTCTGGGATATAATGCCGTGTAGTCTGTTGAAAGTTAATCGACGTTTCCCAGGAATATGTCGCTTCACGCTGGTTTCTTGTTTCGTTTATTCATCAACCATTACAATAGAAGCGACATGTTAAAATAGTAAGTTTTTAGACATTCATCATCTTGTCTTTCATAAAACAACGTTTCGGAGACTAGATTCTGTATCCGTCTTCAGGTAAACCCTACTCAGTTGGGCCCAATCGACAGAGCTAGTCCCTATCTTCGGACACCTGTGCCAGCCTCAAGAAGGGGTACCATCGTCACAAACGTTTAGATCTTAAGCGACAAGTTCCTCCGAAACGTCGGTTGACTTTCAAAGGATTACATGGCGTTATATCCCAAGAGATAGACTTAGTAGGCTTAACGATACTAACACAAATGTTTCTGAATGCTCTCCGTGGAACCGTATTTACGTGTCTTCATACTAGTTGCCATGCCGACATATCTACATTCTCCCATTTGACCTTACAAGACCTGGGCTACTGAAAATTCGTTAAGTAAACCAGAAATAAATTTACTCTCCTGAAAAGAGTACGATAAATTTTAAATTTTTATTCGTATGCTCGGTGAGCCGGGGTAGCGCAGTCGGTGTAGCAACTGCCTACGAGCTAGACCACCGAACGGTCGGAGTTCGAGTCCCGGTAGGGTCAGAATTTTCTTTTCTCCATATCGTCCAGACCGGCTCTGGGGTCCACCCAGCCTATCCGATGCGTACCGGGGGCTCTTTCTCGGGGGCTGACCACTCACCTCCAGCTAGTGCCGAGGTCAAGAAAATGTGAATCTATACATCGACTTCCCCATACACCTTCATAGCGTAGTGATTAATTAGTTAAGCACAGGGACAACTTTTCTTTTTTTATTCATATGCTTGTGTTTACAATTCGTCTGTAATTATCTCACAAATAAAATTGGCTTTCCATTGTCATTCTTTATTTCGGTATTAGGCCCAAACGGAATACTTAATGACTGTCATTTACCTGCTACTGATGGTGATGACATTGCGGTGTTACCAAGGAACCAACGCAGTTTTACATTTCATTTGCAACAGCTTCACCCTTTAAAGGTACAAATGGTTTTCATTCTGACATTCATTTTTCAGCATATGAATAAAAATATATAACTGAAAGCAGGTTAAATTAGTTACATCAAAGAAACACATCATTTATTTCTTTATATTTTAACACAAATTTTGAAGTTCGCTTTTTGTTTAGATCCTGCTACCGAAATTAAATTCTGAAGGGTCCTGACGATGGTAAATAACACTCAGAATTACTGGAGTTTTGGACTTTCTCCATCGTCAGGTATTCTACAGATTAGAAACCACAATGTTTCGGAACCTGGATCTGTTTCTGTCCTCAGGTGAGGGGGTGAACATCTACTCTAACTTCAATCACTTAGCTCTTTCTAAGGTACCCAACAGAGGAGGTTTCTTCACTCTCACCTGAAGACGTAAACAGACCCAGTTTCCGAAACGTTGCATTCTCTAGCTTTCATAATAGGGGACGATGGATAAAGTCCAGATATCCTATAATTCTGACTACTGCCGAAATATTTCATGAACATGTCAGCATATATTCCAACCGAGAATTCAAGCATGAAATGCAAGGCTTCCAGCCAGCCTATCGCCCTGAAGGCAATGGAAATGTCTCAACCAAATGCAAAAACTCGTCCTCAGCCACTTTTAATTTTAATATATGAAATTTAAGTAAACACAAGCGGTTAGTCGCTGGCTTCCCACCGCGGTGGCCCAGGTTCGATCCCGGGTCTGGTCAAATGGGAGTTGTGGTGGACGAAGTGGCGCTGGGACAGGTTTCCTCCGAGTACTTCGTTTTCCCTTGCCAATCTTCATTCTACCAATTGCTCCACAATCACCCTCATCTATCATCTGGGGCTGGTACAATAGGCCAGAAGCGGCCGCAGTACAAGGGACTTAGTCCCACCCCACTAGCAATAAAAAAAGATACTCAAAATGGAACGGTAATATGCACCAGCCTACAGTAACTGATTAATCCTCGGTCGGTGCGTTGTACTTACAGTTTCCTGTGGGGCAGCAGTTAATTTTATATTTTGTCGTCTTGGCAATGCGGATCTTTTGAATAACACAACGGCCAGAACTGTGTTTCTCAGAAGTGGCCTTGTTGGATATTATCCACCAACCCAAGTTAGGTCTCCGCTACAGATAGCTTGTTTCCAAGGTTCAACATTGGTTTCAAATTCGTGTCAACAAACAGTATTACGAGTGAAGAAGCCCGCTAAGATTCAACAGGGAATCATTTGTTTCGTACCTCCATCTTTAACTACCTTTCTTCCCTTTCCTTATTCCTTCCTTCTTTTCGTCTTTAAAAATAAAAGTTAATAAAGTAAATGCCTAACTGGAAAGAAACTCTATAGGACGGGCAAGTAGGCATGTGGCAAGATTAACCTCTGGCACACTCAATACACAGAAAATTAAGACGAAAATACGAAAGGTTATTCTCCTAAACTTCGTATATGAACCAGATGAACACGACGCCTGCCTAATGTTCGAAATCTATTAAAATTTAAAATATGTGACATAAATTAACTTCACTCAAAGCAATGGCATGTGCGCAAAAGTGAATGCGGATAAGGATACTTAAGATTATATTGTATTTAGACCTATATACAAACAAACCAAACTCCATGGTTTTAGTCCACAAGCGAACTATACTGACCGAGCGACCGCCGCTTGTCGGCTAAGTTAGTGACAACTTTTGGTGATAGAGAGTGTCACGTGGTCAGCGTAACGAATCCCCAGGGCCGTTAATCTCGGTTTTCCAGACCGGAGCCACTATTTCCTTGAAAGAGCTCCTCAATTATCCTCACGAGGCTGAGTGGACCCCGTTCCAGACCCACTACTCCTCAGAAAATCTGGTAGCGCTGAGAATCGAACCCGGGCCTCTGGATCTGTAGGCAGGAACTCTGACCACTGGACCACAGATGCGGTCAGTAAATGCAAATTCATATTGTCCTATAACATGCTGCTTTAGAGGGTAGACAATAAATTTTCTTCACATCTAAGTTCCTGAAAAAGTGATAAAAATTATAAAATGTTCATACAGTAAAGAATGCTTGCTAGGGTTTGCTCAAACTCCGAGTCTGTGATGTGGAGCGGAAGAACGGGGTGTTTTGTTTTTATTCCTCCTCTCTTCATTTATTAACGATTAATTTAAGGGCCATGCCTGCAGCTGAGATTATGGCACCGAGTGATAGAATGATTAAAAAATAATAATTTAGAATAAGAACATAAACGACTATGACCTAGTCGGAGGTACACTTCCAGAATTTATATGGTGGGAATGAGGAAAATCTCGAAAACCCCCCAAGCAAGAAAGCCGGTCTCCGACCGAGATTTAAACCCAGGGCCTCCCGAACGCGAAGCACGGACCCTACCCGCTCGACCACGACGTCACATTATATTTATACCCCCAGTACTTATATTTCAAGTAATGTCAAATTCTGATGTTGCAAAAAGATCAAATTCCAAGCTGCTATTATTAAAACTGGTTACGCTGTATAGAGTTAGCGACTAGCAGAGCAACCTTGACGAGTGCTTGGTTTGCCTGTCTTGGATCAGGTGAAGATTCGGACTCCGTGGGGAATACCCGACTCGGAAAGGCTGCGCTTACGACACCACACGCCAAAGAGAAGCGGAAACCTTTCTTCAAGAAGCAGGAAGCCACAGCCCCCTATGACGTGGTTCCCTCCATGCGGCCTGTCGTCCTTGTCGGTCCTTCTCTCAAGGGCTATGAGGTTACGGATATGATGCAGAAGGCGCTCTTCGACTTCCTGAAGCATAGGTTCGAGGGGCGGTAAGTAACGTCACTAGCGCTTGTTACGAAACCAGCCTAGAACGACTGCGTATTTGTAAGATTTGAGGCTTTCACGGCGGTGGCTATGAAGAAAGCAGTCTTCTGGGATTTGGCACCGTGTATATGTGGTGTTAACCGACGTTTCGGAGGAACGTATCGCCTCCATCTTCAGGGTAGAAGAAAAAATATATAAGAATCTGCAAGCAAAGAGACCGTGAGAACCGGTAAAAGCAGACTGCTTTCTTCGACTGCGTATTTGTTATATTTTGTAAAGGATCGCCATATTATGGTAAACACGGTGCTCATCAAAATTAAAAGAAGAATTAAGCAGAAAATAAACTCTCTACAGCAAGTGAAGCCACAAATTTCCAATTTCTCATGGCTGTGTAATTATCACATCACTCAGAACACACTTGTGGTCGCATTAATGTCAAATTTGGAAAGGGACACTTCAAGCGATATCTACATTTTCTGTGTAGACTTAGACGTTAATTTGTCATGATACATTATTTAAGGACCAGACGACTTGGTGATGTAGGTATGCAGAAAACTCGCGTGTGAATGAAGCTCATACATTCCGTTGCGGGAGAACTGACCATCTCTGCTGAATTATTTCAATTAGTCACACTACTGATTCAATACGCGGAAATAGCTGAAACTGACAGATGAATTGTTCTGTTTGCTATTTAAGGAGCATCATATTAGAGTAATCACGCTATTGGTTCAATTGACTGAGGCTACAGTGCCGGTAAGTAAATTGAGGAGTTTTCATGGGAAGGGGAAAATTCAGAATCAGAGTTTATGCGTCCTGGCGACAAGCCCCTTGAGACTCACGACCAGTAATATTTTTTTCAACTGAACACTTGCGATCATAGTCTCTATATAACATCAACAAACCCACAACTGCCTGACAGTAACAAAAATCTGATCCTGAGCCCTAGGTGGGACTTGACACCAAGATAGACTGGCCGACTGACCTTCGGTTTCGAAGCTAATTGAGAGTAAGTTACGGCCATGAATTAGTAACTAGCTGTGAGATGGCAGGCAGTCGGCAACGCCGTAAGCACGAGTAACACAATAGTTTCCAGTGTTGGGAACCGTAACCAAGCATTGGCTAGTGAAGACTATAAGAGACGGACACAGCAGGTGTTATAGTGATTTGTTAAGTGTGTAGATTAGCGGTGTATTATAATTCTGTGTAGTTACGAGTTATAAGCGTTCAATAAATCCAATTGTGAATCCAAACCTCGTTTCTAATAACTAATATATGACAGTACTTTTTCCCCGTAAACAAAATTATTAATCGACTGTTGCGTTACCTGGAGATAATCACATTATTGAAATTAAATATATTTAATCTGGATCATAAAGCAGTATCGATAGAGCATGGAAATGCATTCATGAAGTTGCTAATTCTGATAGTTGCTGAAATTAAGTACGATATACTCTTCCCACATTAAGAACAAAACATTTGTAAGTCTTGATTCCTTATTTTGGGAGCACAACCACATCACAGTAATCGCGCTACTAGCGTAATCTGCATTGCATGTAAAAACTGGATGTGTACTTCCCTCAGTAAATGTTAAAAGAGTCAAACCTAATGTTGTCTGTCTCACTGTTTCAGTATAATCATCACACGTGTGATGGCGGACATATCACTGGCCAAGCGGTCGCTCCTCAACAACCCGTCCAAGCGAGCCATCATGGAGAGGTCCAACTCGCGCTCCACCTGCCTTGCGGAAGTCACGACAGAAATCGAGCGCATCTTCGAGCTGGCGCGGACCTTACAGCTCGTCGTGCTAGACTGCGACACGATCAATCACCCGTCGCAACTCGCCAAGACATCGCTCGCTCCCACCGTCGTCTATCTCAAGATATCTTCCCCTAAAGTAAGGCCTTAAAGATCTCCCGAAACGCACTCTTCTGAGGCACGTATTATCGCAAAGCTAACCGTTAACAGATATTCCAAAACATCAAGGTACAAAACAGACTTCCGCTGAAATCGTGGTCACCTAACTCATCCAACATAATCCTCTTTGAGACGCTGACAATCGTTCAAATGATTAGGAAATTCACTGACTTTCTAGAACCCAAAAGTCCCTTATCGTGTTCGCAAATGCCCGTCTCTGAGCTGTACAGTCTCAATGCTGAGATCTTCGTCAAATAACTAAATATAAAACCGCCACTGGATCTCTATTATGATCCAAAATAAATTGAGCCCACACTCCTACAACCTGTTTCTTTAAGATATATTTTAATATCATCCTTACTTTACGTTCGAGTTTGTCAAATCGCCAGAGCTCTCCCGGTTGCAGGACTAAAATTCTGTATGAATTTCCCATCTCTTCCTGCGTGTACATGTCCTGCTTCTCTCGTCCTCCTTGAAATTGGCATTCTGAATATTTTGTGAGAGACTATAAATTGTGACCCCTCCTTATGTAATTTTCCTCACAACTCTGTCACTTTCTCTCTGTTCGGCCCAAATTGCACTCTACTCCTCAGCATTCAATCTTTCTTCACGAACCTATGTTCCTCCATTAAGGTGAGAGACTAATTTTCGGACAGACGCAAAACAACAGTAAAATCAAAGCTGCAGATGTCTTATTTTTTAAATTCTAAGTTCTATGTATGAAACTGGAAAATCGAAGACCCTGGAGTGTGCGCTAAAGAGTAAGCCTATTCCTTGTATTTAATATATTCAGTTCTTCCTTAATTGAATTTTGGTTTCTTGTGTCTTTTAGAAGTATTTGAAGTGTCATATTTTCGAATTTGTAATCTCTGTCACGGTTTTAGTCGGTGAAGTAATACGTTACAAGCCGGAAATTCGTGGGTTCTATTTCCTACGAGGTCACTGGATTTTTCAATTGACCTAATCCTTCGAGCGGCACTATGGCCCCTTGGGTCGACTCAGCCTCTAACAGAAATGAATACCAGGAATCTTCGGGGGGGGGGGGTGGAGGGCGGCCAGTACTTAAAGCTGACAATTTCACCGCCATCTGTGAGCCGATTGTCTAGAAAATGTGGGAGCCTCGACGTCTCACAACCCTATGGGCCTCCACGGCCTATTACAGGGATAGTTTTACCTTTTACCTTTCACGTCACGGCTTTGTCCCCGCATTCTGGTGTCAAGACATGTACTTAATTTCTCTTCATCTATTTCTATGCTACCCTCCTTACTACAGTCTAACTGAAATTCTGTATTTCCTTGTATGATACTTGTATTTTCAAAATATCAGTCCCTCTTGGCTTTACTGCATCATCGTAATGATGAAGCTGAAATGCAACGGCCATGAAGTATCTTCTTATTTCACGCCATTTTGAATATCAAATGCATGAGACAAATTTTTAATATGACTCTTAGCACAGGTCTGATTTAAACCAATTTTAATTAGCCTAATTATGTAGTAGTTCCATGAGTTTACCGATTTCGGTGAGTTATCGGCTTTCTTTGAACCTATACACAGCTCACGCACAATCTCACTCTACTCTCATCGTTTCTCCAGTGTCTGACCAATGCACAGATCACAACATTAGCAAATTTATTACATTAGAAATTACAGCCGTCCCCACTAATTTCGTCTACGTGTGGAATTAAACGAGCCATTAAGCATTCAGGGCTCAGCTCCATGAGTAAGTAAGTAAATTGCCAGGCTACCATTTTATTCTATAAAACAGAGCATTGCTAAATAACCCAAAAGTCAAACGAAACCATTTCAAGTCCCTGAGAGTAAGCGAGCAGACAGAAGGAATGCCGTGAAAAAAGTCACCTTATAATGCTGCAGAGCCGTCCCCTTATTTGACGCCATATAACATTACACTTCAGCATTCTGTTTCACTCTTAAACAATTCAATTTGCTCACAGACTGTTGGCCTGTAAGCGTGTCAAAAGGTACACCTCCAAGACAGCCCTTGAAAACGATGTGACAGCCGCTTGTCGGCGAAGTTAGTGCCAACTTTGGCGGATAGAGGGTGTCGCGTGGTCAGCTCAACGGATCCCCAGTCATTAATTTCTGTTTCTAGACCGGAGCCGCTATTTCCTAGAAACAGCTCCTCAATTATCCTCATGAGGCTGAGTGGACCCCCTTCCAGACATACTACATCTCAGAAAATCTTGTAGCTCCGGGAATCGAACCGGGACCTCTGGATCTGTAGCCAGGAACTCTTGACCACTAGACCACAGAGGCGATCGGTATAGTTCGCTCGCGGAATAAAACCACAGAGTTTGTTTTGATTCGGTATAACGTATTCGGTTGATATAATGCAAACAAAACAAATTTTGATGCAGGTGCTGCAGAGGCTGATCAAGTCGCGGGGCAAATCGCAAACGCGACACCTCAACGTTCAGATGGTTGCGGCGGAGAAGCTGGCTCAGTGCCCACCGGAGATGTTCGACGTGATTCTAGATGAGAACCAGCTGGAGGACGCCTGTGAGCACATTGCCGAGTACCTGGAAGCGTATTGGCGGGCAACGCACCCCCCAGCTGAGCCACCAGGCGGCGCCGCCAACCCCCCACCTCAAGTAGTACCACGACCCATGCAACCGTCACCTCAAGGTTCCCCCACAGCCGACCACGCCGGTAACATCGTCCGGACCTCAAATTCCACCCCTCCAGGTGAGGACTGCAACAAATATGCTTTTCAGGATATCTAAGTTAACATGAGAAACCAAACTGTTGTATTATTATCTATTCATTCCGTATAGGTCTGCTCCATTTTATGTATCTTCTGCGGGTTTTAACACGTTCATGCGTTCATCTTTCTCTTTGTTCGTTCCAAATCCCTTCTGACCGTCGTGTTACGAACTCCCACTTCCAATTGCCGTCCAGTGGATTCTTTTGTTTTTCCATTTACATGTAGCCTATGAGCCTGTACCTAATTCCGTCAGGTAATGGTTAGAATAGCTGCTTCACGTTCTGGGTGTCTCCGGTTCAAATCTGCTTCCGGAAATGAATTATTACTAAGGACTCTCGTGGTTTCCGCCATTCTCTAAGCAAATGGCGAGATAGTTTACTAATATATGCTACGACCAATTCATCCGTCATACTTCTCATGTTGTTCTGCATTATGGTCCGCCATTTTAGACGCCTTCATAAGGCACCGAAGCGCCTATTAAAATTTAATATGATATTGGGAAATTGTACTAAAATTTGTCAGTAAGTTCCAGTTTTAGTTAACATTGGACGAAAATAACGGACATTACATGAAGATCTAAGCGCGCTTCTGTGTCTATTTCGAGTGTAAATCCTTAAACATTAATCAGATGCAGTATATAAATGTTTAGAACAGAGATGTATATAACAATGAAGCATATTTTTGTCTAATAAACATTTTCCTTAAGTTTTAAGTTTTCGAGGAAATTAAATAAGGACTGTTACGATGTGAGTGCGTTTCTGACTTTTATATCCAACAATGAACAATGTTCTTTCGACCATACAGGAGAAGAATACGGAATCATGTACAACAGTCTTCCAGGCATATATGAGGATTACCGGGTAATCAATAATGAATATCCGAAAACAAACAAAGATTGCAGAGCCTCTTGTTCACGATAACATTTCGTGGAATTTTCCTCTCACATAATTTATTAATCTACATATTCATAAACATGATTTAATTAAAATATAATTTTATATAGGACCACAAGTACGTCTGTTTTATCTAAGTAAATATTTAAAATATTTGTCCTTACGGCAATTCCTTCTGCCGAAGGAACCTGTTAAACATATCCTACATACACTTGTAATATTGTTGTAACTAGAGAGGTTATGTAGCGTCAAATAATAGGCCAATTTTCGATGATAAAATGAAAGTTACTTGGAAGGAAGTGGCCACAGCCGATATTAAGGCACTTTCCCAGCCATTAGGGACTGAATAAAGTCACTCAGAGCTTGGGTAACAAAAGTAATTCTCTGCGATAGTTTCAAACCCGAGGTCCCCACAATACGACACAGTAGCACTCACCATTAGACAGCAAATTTCGGGCAGCTCTTCCATTATTAGTTTTGTACCAGCCGGAAGAGTTAATTTTGCTGTTTTAGAAATTTTGAGGTTATATAATTCTGATGTGTGTCAGAGTCATTACATTTTGCTCTAAGGGGAAGTTTTATTAACTACTGCTCTTTTTTTTAATATTCTGAATTGAAGCATAAACTTGTTTTTTTTTTAACAAACATGGGGTGTTGCTCGTCTGTACAGTGTACAGTGTATTGTACAGTGAACTAGCTTTACCTCGGAAACCGTTCGGAACAGGACACATACATACACATACATACACACATACATACATACATCGTACACACGTTTTTGCTTAGAATGACAGATACTATGACCTCACAGAATATTGACCTTTCTCCATGGGACACTTTGGGACACGCGGTAGCGTAGTTGGTTGAAGCGCTATGCTACAAGCCGGAAGGTCGCGGGTTAAAGTCCCGATGAGGTCATTGGATTTTTTCAATTGACCTAATCCTTCCAGTCGCACTATGGCCCTTAGGCGGACTCAGCCTCTAACAGAAATGAGTACCAGGAATTAATTAAATAATTTTCCTGGGGAGTAAAGCGCGGCCGGCGCGTAAGGCTGACAACCTTACCATCTTTGAGCCGATTATCTAGCTAATGTGGGATCCTCAACGTCTCACAACCCTATGGGCCTTCACGGCCTCTTAAAGGGATAGCTTTACTTTTTTTTTTTTCACTTCCTGGGACACTTTATGAAGTACAGGCTATTGTCTAACAAAGAAGAGGGCCATATTTGAACGTTCCGAGAAATCACGACGAAACGTGACATAACTTAAATTCGTGCTGGAAGGACAAATTGTACGCGAAAGCTAGTGAAGTTCCTCTCCTGCGCGTGGCTTATCTAATGACGCTGTGAATGGACAGACTGTACGGTATCGAATGATAAGATGATAGACGAGTTTGAAGGAATCTGGAAGGAAGCGGCCGTTACCTTTACGAGGAACTGAAGACCCTCAGTCAGGGTAGCCGGTGCCTCGCCTAAGATTCGAACCAACGACGTTCCGAATACGAGTCTGAAGCGTTACTGCTATTCCAGTCCGTTCGGTCGTGATGTCCCAGTTTAAACGTAAAGTAATCGAAGAACGCGTGTCACTGCAAAGAAGTATTAGTTAATTATTCTGTAAAAGATAAACTTGCCGCTGTGCTTAGCTAATTAAACCCTATGACAAGCGGCCTCCGTAGTCTAGAGGTAACGTTCCCACCTCATGACTCAAGGTACGCGGGTTCAAATACCCGGCGGAGGTCGTCGAATTTTTAAGGGCGGAAAAATTCAGGGAACAAGTCCTCCGGGAGGGACTTTAAGCCGTGGGTCCCGTGTCGTAACTTTACGGCACGTAAAAGAACCTCATATCACCAAAGGGGATAACTGAGCCAAATTCCAGGACGTTTCCCGCCCAACAGTAGTCTCTAAGGCCTGCGATAGATGGGGGAAGCATTATAGACACCGCTAAGCAAGTGGCCGAACTCGCTTGCTCAGCGGGACTGATGGTACGCACCATTTATCGGTAGGGTAAAGAGACTGGTAGAATATCATAGAGGGAAGCACAATAGATCAAACTGGTCGCGGTGCATGGGGAAACCCACCCTCTCTAAATAACTAACTACGTAACTAACTAAACACTATGACATGAAGCTGATGTATAGATCAATGTTTTCTTTACTTCGACACACTAGTTCGAGGTGAGTGCTCAGCTTCACGTCCCGGCATCTTTACCTCTGAATAAAGGCCACGCGTACCCATTTGATATGCTGTCTGAGTGCCTGTGTATCCCCTTCTATCAACTTTTGAACGTCAGAACCAATCTTTACGAAACTTTGTATGGATGTGTATGACTATATTTTTTTTTTCCTGTGGCGCTACAGCCCCAATTTGGGCCTAGGCCTACCTCCATGAAACTCTCCGTTTCACTTCGGTTTTTCTAGATCTTACACATATGATAGGACTCCTTGGGCGAGTGATCAGCTCGTCGCGAGGCCTCTACCTGTACACAAACACAGAAAAACGCACACAAACGTCCATGCCCTGAGTGGAATTCGAACCCACGATCTCGGTTTCCGAGCGAGCGAAGACAGTGCATGCCTTAGACCGCTCGGCTACCGTGACCGGCGTATGAGTATATACCCATCTCAGTTGCATACTTGAGAAATCCCTCCCATCAGCCTTTGTGTCTGTATAACCCTTATCTTTGCTAGGCAATGGCTCGGCAAGAACGTTATCGCCGGAACGCAACAAAAGAATTGCTGAATACATCCTTTTCTATGCGGTCTGTGTTGTATCAAAGGAAAGTAGGTGATTAGTTCTTCGATCAACTTCTTGTTTTTCTCTACAACTTCTGTTCTAAACACTCTTCGCTTGATAAATATGTACCGGGTTATGTTCTAGATCAGAGCAAAGAAGGCATATAGGTCTTCATGTAACGCGTCTATCATTATTGTCTTATTTTAATAAAAATTGTAATAACAATATATTTCTGTAAAAAATCATCAATATCAATATCTGTGCCTTATTAACAATTGGCGAGTCAACAGCTGAACAATCTCTCAGTATTAACAACACAAGATTTCACACAGCAGAACAGCTGATAACAGTTGTGTTGCTTATTAAATGGTGACAACCCTCAAACAATCTCTCATATGGATAACAACAGATGCTATACAGTGAACAGCTGATACATTTGTATTGCTTATTAAATAGTGACAACCGGTGAACAGTTTCTCAGACTAATAACAACAGACAGCTAACTATACAGCAGAATAGCTTATATATTTGTGTTGTTTATTAACGAGTGGTGATTCAGTAACTGACCAATCTCTCCACAGGAGTTCACCACGATGCTTACGGGTACCAACATGATGCTAGAGGTAATGAAGGCTATGCATTACTCGTGTAGTGAACTTGCCTGTTATTACTGGCTGACATGATATTATTAGCGTTTGATATTTTTCCCTCTATAATTTAATAGGGATTCCATTCGCACGATAATCTGTTAGAGAATAGGAATAGATTTTCATTTCGGAAATAAAGAGTTGTAACTTCTGGAACCAAAACTACAAAATTGTTTTCACAGCTGCCGCTTCCAAAAAGACTGAATGTGTGTATAAAAGGAAATTATTTTTTCAGTTTCTTGTGTTGGTATGAAAACTGGTTTCGTACTTTTAATGGAAAAGAGAGAAAGTACTACCAGAAAATCAATCCAATCCTAATGAAAGTGTCAATAAAGAGAATGTACATGTATAAAATAATTTTATAATCAATTATGAACATACTGACACATAATTATTTGAGGCCAAAATTGTACTGACGAATAGGGATAATACGTTGTAATATAAGAGTAGGTTTTACATATTTCAAGTAGTAATAGTTCTGCCAATCGATACGCACTAACAAATACAAAATATAGTTTATAATTTCTCGGAATACGGGCTACGTGACATGTTCCTATACCTCGTTTTAAGCCCTGTTATTATTTGGTTATTTAACTCAGCAATTCGTAAGTGCTGCCAACATGGCCACCAATAATTTCCCTTTCGGTCGTCAGCTGGCTTCATGGCTATAGGCAAGTTTCTGTCCAAAAAAAAATATAAATACTGTTCTGACGAATTCTCTCTCTTAAAATTCTTTGAACATTTTAATGTGAGGACTGTGGATCTGCAATACACAGTTGTAACGCCTCCGCCTTCATTCTTTGGAAGAACTGACGGGAGAAAATCATTTTCCGTTAGATACAGAAGAACATCCAATGAGAATGTTCCCATACTGTGAGCCGCTTCAAACTAAGGTTATCCCATGTTCCTTCCGATTTGTTTAAATTATAAATTAATTATAAAGTCTTGGATTTGATGTTCTCACAGCGGTAGTCATGAAGGGTCATATCTTCCGGGATATAACACCGTTTATTACGCTGGAAGATAGCCGACGTTTCTGAGAAACATGTCACCTCTATCTTCAAAGTACAAGAATAAGTCAAGCAAGAAACCAGTGTGAAGCAGGCAGCAAGCAGAACTTAATGCTGCCTTCTTGCTTGGCTTACTCTTCGACCCTGAGGACAGAAGTGATATGTTCCTCCGAAACGTCAATTGTCTTTCAACGGTTAATATGGTGTTATGCCCCAGAAGATAGAATCCTTAGCTGCAAAATTCTTTATTCGAAATGTCAACAAGTAAAACGTTCATACGTCTTAATTAGTTCGTAGCCCGTTCTTCTGAAATATATAGTGCAATATAATGCAGTTTTAATTATGAAAGGAGTAAAGAAGTTTTGGATTAAAAAGGAAATATATTTATAGGACCAAATTACTATGATGGCATAGATATCAGACAGAGGCATAAAAAATACGACTTGAAAAATGAAAGGCCTTATCCTTCAGTGTTCATGAATCAAGCGGATATCTTTTGAACACATACAGAGTGTTCTGAGGCTGTGCTAAGAAAACTGATAGTTTGTTCATTAGATGTTAGTACGAACCTCATGATTTACGTTATCATGCCTCAGTCCTTCTTCTGCAGTGTTTTGCACCGCTGCTATAATAAAATGATTAACGTGTGATGGAACCCCATTTTAGCTCAAATGATTCTGTTCACCTTGGCACAAAACGCACTGCAGCTTGCATCGTGATCATTTATTTTTATTTACAGTTTGATCAAACCAAGGGACATCATTAGAATCATGCGCAGTAGAGACGGAAGAGTTATCATTACGTCATTTGTATTCTTTGTCTTCTTTCTGTTTGAAAGCAGGAGGAACCATCGCGCTGTTTCCATTTATGGTTCTAACCGTGCAGTTAGGGCCGTATGGAGAATATGCTATTCCGCTTAAGTGTTAATAATAGCTATCATTCATTCATCAGTAATCTGTCAGACGACAGGTCCACAGTCTCTTCCAAAACAGTTCCTCCACTTAATGCGATCTAGAGCTTTCTCCTTCAAATGAGAATATCCTCTTCTGTCCCCAAGGTCATTCAGCATCATCTTACGTCTTCTGGTCACTTCCATCCGCCCCTCTATCTTCGCATACATGGTATCTGTGTTTTTGGAAAGAGACTATCCAGGAAAAGTGATAATGTGGTGGTTTTTCCATTTGCTTTCCACATCGCAGTACAACAGCCGTTCAAACCACTCTGGTCACGCCTGTTGCTATACGAACTTGAACCATCTCGAGCATCATTTGCTCTGTGCTTCAAGTCGCTGCTGATGACGCTGCTTCCGGCCATCAGTTTTTGGTTTTTGGTGTCTCTCTTCGTCTGATGCCTACCTTTTGACCTGTCCAGCAAGGGAGGCTCTGGCAGTAGCTACGCTACCGCTGGTACAGCTCTCGGGGTCCTTGGCATATTCAAACCCCCTCACCACGATAAGGTGGAGACATCATTTTAAAATTTGGTTAAGAAATTATATATGGAAATGACTCACGTTAAGGTAATCGCGCCTAGTTTTGGAGAAATGCGGGACGTCTAGATGAAAGTTATCCGAAATAAAATCATTATATGTCAGAAAGAATTTATTATACACATTAATGAGTTACACCATTACAAAGGGAAACTATCAAAGTTTTTTTTTTCTGCGTATATGACTTTCTCAGTAAATTTAAATGTGGGCTCCCTTTGTGGCACGACAAATATCCAGGCTTGAAGCACGTTTGGTGTTACCATAGCCACAGCGTCCCTTATGCGGGCTTTCAGGTGTTCAAGCTCGCTGATCTTAACCTGGTAGACAATGCTCTTCAGATAATTCCAACGAAAGAATCCACTGGGGTTACATCTGGCGACCTAGGAGGCCAAGCGATTGGTCCATCTCTCCCAATGCATATCCCAGCCATCTCTCTGTCCAGGTAATTCCTAACATGGTAGCAAAAAATGTGTCGGCGTATAAGCGTAAGCAGGGTATGAAAAAAAACTTTCAGAGTTTTCCTTTCCGATGACATAAACCGGATACGTGTATGACAATTCGTTTCGGAGGTATACATTTTTTATTTTGGATTTTTTCAATTCACCTAATCCTTCCAGCCGCACTATGGCCCTGGGGTCGACTCATCCTCTAACAGAAATGACTACCAGGAATTAATTAAATAATTTTCCGGGGTATTAAAGCGAGGACGGCGCGTAAGGCAGACAACCTTACCGCCATCTTTGAGCCGATTGTTCAGAAAATGTGGGACCCTCAACGTCTCACAACCCTATGGGCCGTAACAGGAGTCTCTTGGTTCGAGTTTCCATCCAAAATATTCTAAGAAGTGTGAGGTCATAATTAATCACATACAGGTTCACTTTTGTTACAAGAGGAAACAGCTACCAGGTGGTTCATCCTGCAGTTCTTTAATGTTACATTTATTTCAGCTCTTCATTAAACCGTTTTGTTACAGCGTGCAAATTATTATCTGTTGCTTCATTATAGCACACTTTATTTGAAAATTGTTTATTTATAAGTTCCAAAAGTAAAATATTTTTGGATCCAAATCAATCTACAGTTGATTTGCTTAAGTAATGAAAACCTCCGAAATGATATTTTTTTCTTCGATGCATGTCTGCTCATATGAAAGGCGCTTGTTTGTTATGATTTTAATTTATTTGTGTTTAATGTTAACCATTTCTTTGTATTTTTTTTTCACATTTTCTCTTTGTTTTGTTGCAATCTTATATTCTTCTTCTTTTTCCCTTCTCGCGACGTGCCCTTAGAGTCCATAGTGCCATCTACTGGTGTAGTGAGAGAGACTTCGACAGTACAAATCTTTTAAATACTGGCCACATGCTGACATTTTAAAAAAGTGCTTTGTTTGAATCCCGGAAGAGTTTAACGAGTCGTATGCATTTTTCTGTAAGTATATTTCTTCAGAGATGGGCATGAAGAAGAACCACTCCCCTTTCCTTCCACCATTTTACAGTGATTATGACTTTTGTGAAATAGTTGTATATGTTATGATTTCTTTTCACTCTTTTAAAACCCGTTCGAAAACGGGGGTCAGTATGAAGTTTTACAAAATATTATGAGCTTTCATCCCCTTTCCGCCTCACATGCAAGTGATTAATGCCCTTCCTACTTGTCTGCTTTTATTCTTGTGTTAACCAATTAAGTTTGAGATAAGTAGCTTGTTCTAGCATTTTGGACTTCACAATATATATTTTTAACATTAACAGGGAATTTGGAGTAATTTGTACGAAATTTTCCCATATTATCGTTTACATTCTTGTTATTCGAAGACTCAGAACTTTATATAAAATTGACAATTATAACTATGTCTTAAGATTTCATTTGCGTACTTTATCTGCTTGTCTTGTGTTTTGTTATACACGTCAAAGAAATATATTTAACACTATGCTTTGCTTTATCAGATAATTTTAATATAACTGAAAATTATGATCCCTTGTTTATGACAATGATCTTCTAGCCCATTCACTAAAGTAACTTCAAATTTGTTGTTCTTATGAATTAATTATTTTATATTCCGCGTTTGTGTAACAAACAGCGACAAAGACGAAAGAATTTTTCACAAACTATTATCATGTTGTGTTTAATGGAACAGGAATCTTTAATTATGGTCATTCGCGCATACGCGCATGTATAGTTTAAAAATTGCTTCCACAGATGGCAGAAGCAGTGTGTGACTGATGAGAGGAGTGACATCTGTCGGACGTCGCTCACATAATCTGTTCGCAAATAGTGGCGTGAGGGAAGGTAACAACACGTTCGAACGTTGCTGTATTGAAGCAAACATATTGTAAACAGAGCATCCGGCTTTTGTCGCAAAATTATATTTATATATCATTATTATATAAGTCGCATTCACATTTTTCTGCTTTCTTTTCTATTCCTTCTTGATCTTTTTATTTTATCTTCATCATGACACTCACACACAAAAACACACCAAATTGGCGCTCTTTTCCAACGGCTTCTGTGTGCGGTTGGTTGTCACAAATTTTATTCTCATATGTTGGCATGTCGTGAATACAATCCAAGAAAGTACTCACATTCCTTCGATGTAAACACATGGCAACTTTGCTCCTGTCCCCATGATTGGTTTGTGTTTCTTGTTTACTGTGCTTAAATTTGTTTTTATTTTCTTTTCTTCAAGAGTAAAACTTCATGTTAGAAGGCAGAAGCTTCTTCATGATTCTCAACAGTATATATTTTGTTATGTGACGTCACTGCGGTGTTACATGTCGCTTTGTATTATCTATGTATTTTTGTGTGGTCCACTCTTCTTGTTGTCCTATTTTCTCTTTCCTTATTCTCTTTTGTAGCATTTAGTTTGTGTGTCCAGTGTTTCTCTGGCTAGTTTCTCCGACATTTTAATAGAAAATATCTAATCGCGTTGCCATTAATTACATTTTAAAGTACAGTTTCATACGGCGTCGATGTACGGCCGTTAAGAGTAGATTTCTCTTGTAAATATTCCAGTGTGGTAGAACATGTGGTGTAGTTTATATTTAAAATTAAATAACTTAATATGACCCACGTTAGGAGACCTCATGATTAGTCCAACTGGTTCGCCATTCCTACCCGCTGCACATCTCTTCGTTTCAGCTGGTCCAGTTTATCACCAACACGCTCGGGGCAGATCAAGACTCGAGAGAGATCGAGGGGATTATGAAGAGTACAACGCAGGACCGAGAGATGGAATGAGTGTGTACCATCATCATCCTCACCTACATCAGCACCAACATCCTCCTCACCAACTCTCGCATCATCCATCACACTATGGTGGGTCACAGCACCAGCGAGGCATACCTGGTGGCAGCGAAGAGAGGTATCATCATTCTCAACATCGTTCCACCATGCGGGAAGCAGAAGACTACCACTCTCCACACAGAGCGTCTTCACGTCGCGCCCTGAACGCCATCTAGTATAGAACTCCTGAGTGAAATTCAAATTTGCAGTACCGACAGACCGAGACGAGTCCCTTGTAATGTATTAATTTCACTCACAGTTGAAAGGCAATTGAAGACTTGCAAACGACGTGATAAATTCAGGTGCTAGTTATGACAGTAGCGCTGTAAAAATAATCGCTCAAATAACTTGGCGAAATAACGCACAGGAAAGGATATTCGCCGAGTTTTGATTTATGCTGTTATTAATTGTGAAGATGAAGGACTTCACGAGAACCTATGTCGCTCCCACCTACAATCAGTCTCATTCACTGCATGAAAGATATTGAAAATTCAAGGAAGTCGCATACCACATGCTTAAGAAATTGAATAACCTATACAACAAATTAAGTATTACAGTTTTCATAAGAATTAAACGTTGCTTATCTTTCAGCAGTTTGGGCCTTCATCCATGATGATTACGCCCACCGTCCTTTCTACTCCGCCATGTTCTTGCTGACACATCGTTTTTCATTCTACTGGGATATTTAGCTCTTCATGGGCCAATAGGCACACAAATATGGGAGGGTATGTCCTCTTTACCACCACAGCTAAAGTCCCTGCCTGTCCAAAGACTGAACACTGCATGGTCCCACACAAACCACATTTCATATATATTTTGTTTCAAAGTGAAAATTATATCCCATAAGTCTCATTATGCAACAGTATTATCAAGTATGTTGCACAGTTCAAAGAGTAATCCCAAACTATATACCACAATCCTGATTTCTCAATCATAATAACAAATCAAATTCTATACTTCCTGAGGGCTCTCACTTTCTTAGAGGGGGCCCCTTGTATATGATATTACTGTAATTTAAATTATTCATAACAGTGAGAATATATGGTAGGAACCAAAACTTCTAAATGCATTTTAATTACTATACCAAATACAGATTTTAACATGGCTACCACATGTGAAGAAATTATTTTGTTTTGGTACCAATTTAAAGAAATGCTAAAATGCGCATTTTCTCATATTTCTTCTTTCATACAGTTCAAAATAGACTTTACCTGTGTCGGAGGAATAGGAAGATGTGTACATCAAGATTGTTTGCCTTATTTAGTGAAAGTATAAATAAAGGCTGCTGTTGATATTTACAAAAATATAAGAGTATTGTATATATTATACATATATATACAAAATATATCAATATACTATAGATACTATACTTCTTTGATACAAATGTCAAAACAATGAGCTGTACATAATACGTAAAAAATTAATATATATACTACTTTGTTTGCTTTTCAACGTCCAGAGATTTTCTCTTCAAATAAGCTGCATGCAGCTATCTGTTATGTTCCTTTCTCATATAAACAAACAGTACAATTAGAACCTTAATTGTTTTCTGCTGGCTAATATGAAGCTAACTTCCAATTTGTCCATTGTAGTGGTTTTATTTGACATATTATAGAAATAATTCCCAAAGTAGTGAGCAGAATTGGCCACGAAGATGTTATGACCATGGAGCAATGTGTGAGTGTGAAATGTATAACTTGTTTATTACGTTTTTCCATGCAAACTGAATTTCATGTCCAAATACATATTATATTATGAAGAGTTATTCTGATGTCATAATCTCTAATTCAAGTTGGATTCAATCATATTTTTAAAACAAAGCTGTATCAGCATTAAAATAAAATTTTCATTGTTCTAAGTAGTTATTATAAATATTCAATTGTGTCACTCTTTTGAAAGGGACAAGTAAAGTTTTGAGCAATTGGTCCAAATGTGCGTGGTTATAGCTGAATGGGTATATCAACTACATATTGTTATCACAAATACAAGTAGCACGAAGTGAAACAATTCACACGAAATATTCCTTCTTTGTCCACATTAAATGCTTCTGTTCTGTTAGTTCTGAAGCTTAGTAAATGCCTATTGATAATTACTTCCAGCCATCAGTACCTAACAGTTAACACATAAACCACAAGCAACTCATGTGAAACATGTCTTAGAAGCCAACTTAAAATGATATTTGAAGTGGACCAAGTTACAACCCAATACCTACAGGGCATTTCAACTAATACATTCTTGAAAATATGTTTAAACTTATGCAAGGTGAGATGAAATGTCAAAAGTAATATTCCCTTTTAAGCCCCTCCTGTAGAAATGGTGTCATCTTTTAAAAGATCAATGAAGTATATTAGAAGTATGAATAGTGAAAGTATTTTTTCATCACATATGTACTTAGTTCCCTCATAAACTGACTATAGTTGTTTCATTTCAAAACTCTCACTTAGTAGATCATGAAAGAGATGACTTCATACAAATATTAGAGCAAATTCTTTCTTCAAGTTTGCATAAAATTGGCTGCACATAAACATAGCTATCAAATTTTCTCTTTAGGGAGGTGCACAAAATAAATATCATAAATATCACAGCAGATATGCTTTTCTGAGGATTCATCAATTGAAATTCACTCATTTGGTGCAATGTACATAAGCTAAAGACCATTTGCTTTGATATCCACAATCAGTAGTAAAGTTTTACTGATATTCAGTAAGCTTAGTGAATATGAACATTTCCATCCCTTATTAAACATTTATATTAAGGTGGGTTTATTTTTTAAAGGTATCTTAATTTTGTTAAGTATACATCTTGCCATAGTGACTCATGAATTTGATTGAATTTATGTTACATAAGTCAGAATATTTTCATTCAGTGAGGAACTGCTGACAAAAAATTCATAGTTATTAGCTGTGCAATCAAATATAATCAAAACTCTGCTAAAGAAACCAACTTTGAGCATAACAGAGTATATTACAACATAGGGAACTAAATTAATGAAAAGAATCTCTAGTGCGGAAATTACTATAAGTAAATGGTGCATTTTATTTGCTTTACTAATTCACAGTTTATGGAATAAAATTCTTCTGCATTTCTAGTCATTACAAAACCACAAAATTTAAAGCTCTCTGTAACTACATTTTTCAGATATTTCATAATTTTTAAAGGCAAAATGTCTCCAATTAGATATCTATGTGAGGAGAAATATCATAATATTATTCAGGTCAATCAGAAGTCTAATAGGTTCACCATGGGTCCATGGATGCAAACAAGTTAATTTGGTAATCATTCTGTCACATTTAAGATTTGAAGTTTTCACGGCGGTGACTATGAAGAAAGCAGTCTTCTGGGATGTGGGACCGTGTAGATGTGGTGTTAACCGACGTTTCGGAGGAATGTATCGTCATCTTCAGGGTAGAAGGAAAAAATAAAAATCAGCGAGTGAGGAGACCGTGAGAACCAGTGAGCAGACTGCTTGTACCGGTTTTCACGGTCTCTTCACTTGCGGATTTCTTATTTTTTCCTTCTACCCTGAACATGGAGGCGATACATTCCTCCGAGACGTCAGTTAACACCACATCTACACGGTGCCACATCCCAGAAGACTGCTTTCTTCATTCTGTCACATATTTTTTCAGTAATTTATGAGGGCCACTATAGGGACTTCTAATTCAATTAACATATTTAAATGATGCTCATATCTAAAGAGAATCTCATTAATCTTTGCATTAGTTTAGTTTTCCATTGAACAGTAATTAGTATCGCTCTAGCAAATGGTTTGCTTCCTAGATGGCAAAGACTATGTAGTTGCTAACCCCATTACCAGCCTTTTATACTTTAAAACAAATAAGATTTGAAAAGTTGTACCAAGTACAAGACATGTTTAAGGAATGCATTGGATGTGGCATGAAATGTGTGTTATTGTTATTGTTGATGAGTGTTCATATAGTTTGTTCTGTTGTTGATTCTGAAAACGTGTAAAATGGGGCTGTTTTCTTCACTATGAATGTGAAACTTAACACAATGCAGTGAAATTAAAGAAAATCTAATTTATTCTCCATGACAGGAATTTTCATTCTTGCAATGCAACTGGGTGGAATGTTCCAATAAACAATGCCAATAATTTATCAGATCTTAATAATTTGTCTATGGAATTGCAACTTCCATTTTCCAGAGACTTCATTGTATTTTACGAATCAATATCTGCTAAGGGCAAAATGAATGAAGATAAGATAATATGGATGTGCATATATACGCATTGTCGGTTAAAGTCTGAATAATCCAATGACTCAAGAAAGATTCACACAGATTTCTTGTATGTTACAAATTTCAATATTTATTAAACATTACAAGACTTCGCAGATATTTCTCACATGTTACGAAGCCTCACAACAATTTCTTGTACTTCTTCAATCAGGAATCAGAAAGATTTCACAAGTGCTTGATTATCCAAAAAGAAGACACCATACAAATGTACTGTCTTTCATTATGAATAATGAAATTGCTTCAATTGAGATAAGTAACACAGTAGTTCCATAGAATAATTTCTTCGTTCTATCTCATGGTATGATCTATACACTTAGTTTAATTCAGAAAGACAAGAATGTAGTTCAATAAATCTTTAAGAAATTTTTATGGATATCTTTCTGCCCAATAAGGAGCTGCAAAAGTATTGTTATTTCATGCCTCCCTTAGAAAGTGTCCTATATATGTGATACCTATTCCTTACAGTAATAAAATTAGCAACTTGTAGGTTCAATCTGTCTCTTTCTCTCTACATTTCTCTCTCATGGGCTACAAAGTGGTTCAAATATCTGAGGGAGATCCATCACATTGGCTGTGATAATATAGAAAAGTGCCCATTCAGACAAGTGTGGATGTGTATGAGTGTGTATACATGTATGTGTGCTTGCACTTTTTTATGATTGACATTATGCGTGCACACATAAGAAATTATAGAATAAGATATTAACAGTAGAAGCATCTCCAATAAATAACACAGAAATCTTTCATGTTATATAATTTCACAATGAAATTCATGTTTTCTTTATGTAGCATTGTGTTAATTTTTTATCCACGGTGAACGAAAATCGCCTAAAGCAGCAATTAAATTAAAGAATGACTGGAGTATATGTTGTTATATGACTGGAAAAGTTTGAATGTAAAAAGGGGCTTATGAATTCTTTCAAGCAAGAAAATATATACTGCTTTATGAAGCTTGCTGTATCCAAAAATAAAGTAATGACTGTTATGTTCTGATTTGTACTCTCCCTCTCCATAATATTTTGTATATTTCCTGTGGTATGGAGGTTGGGATATATTTACATGAGGAGGGGGGTCACACTGCAAATGAACAGGTCTGGGATAGGAGCATAAGAGTGTTTTTGCACGTTTTCTTCATCTCCAGATCTCCAGAAATTGTTGGAAACATTTGTAAATAAAGAGAATACTTTTTATCAATCACTAAACTCAAGACTGAATCTTTTCTAATCCTCATAAAACCAGTTCTCATCAAATGTCACACATAACAGTTAGTAGTCATTCGTGTTTCATTCTCCAAATCTGATTCTTGGTCCAAAAATGACTATCCTGCCTGCTAATATTTGTTTTCCTCAGTCCTTCCACATGTCTTAGTAGAGTACCCTAAACTGGTTCATGACCATTTTCATCTTCTTCCCTTTTCATCATTCATTACCAAACTGTAATTCACTGTCACATAACATATGAAATTTATAAACTGTCAATAAATGAAACAATGAACAACATCAGTTCTTATATTTGACGTATAGTAAATTACCTCCAGATCCCCAAGAGTCCTTCATTCTGCTGTTCTGTCAATTCGTCTTTCATCAGTATCTTAGACACAACGTCTTGTTTTTCTTGGTAGCTAATACAGCGTTATTAACCTAGAATAACAGTTTTCATTTTACTGGCCTTCGATCCTTTGCAGCACAGCGGTTACTACATGCACCACTTGCCTTAAGATTAAAAAGTTTTGCATTTTGCCCACAGAATGTGGTGATTCTCATGTCTTCCCAGAATACATAGTGACTTTCCCAAAACAGCATTAACTGACTTTGCATCATGAGATTCAGTGTGTTCTCTGAGGCATGAATCGAATTAACACTACTGTCTTCCGGTATGTGACCCAGTGTAGTCTGATAGATGGCTACTAATATTTTGAAGGAACCTGCCGCTTCAATCCGATTATTGGTACAGACCTTTACGACATTTACCAGTCAGTCCACAGTAAGCCAGTAAAAGCAATGGACCTCAAGCCTCTTACTAAAGATTGTAAAGTAACAACAGGTAGAATTATAAAGAGCATAAGGTAACAGGAATAATTCAAGAAGAATAAACAATCATCAAAGACCTGCCATAGCTTAGATGGTTAGTCTATGGCTTCCATCGTGGAAGGCCACATTCGATCCCAGGTTAGGTCACGTAGGATTTATGGTTGACAAAGTGGCACTAGGGCAGGTTGTCTCCCCAGCCAATTCTCACTCCACTAACTGTTCCATACTCCTCCATCAGTCGGGGCTGCTACAAAGGCTCAGTAGTCAGCGGCGTACCAAGTGAACTCAGTCTTACCACAACCAACGAATTAAAAAAAGCCGCCATAAAAACGGCACAAGGCCTTGTACCCATAATGCTACACAGTTCGCATAACAGCAATGCAGATAGACTGGCATGTCTGCTGCTCTCACAATCGAGGAAGGTCATGGAACATTTATAGGAGTACATAATAAAATACTTTCAGTTTATAAAGCAAGCTTGCTTACTTACTTACTTACTTACTTACTTACTTACTTACTTCCTCATGGAGCTGAGCCCTTCTTGAGGAGCTGTCACTATTGCAGCTACTCAAAAATTTCTCAGCATTTTATGGAACTCGAAGATGCATTACAGTGTTTACAAGAGCCCTCCAACGAAGCCTATCCTGAGCCAGATCAATCCAATCTTTACCATCCCATCCTATCTCTCTAAGATTCATTTTAATATTGTCCACCCACCTACGCCTTGGTCTTCCCAGTGGTCTCTTACCTTCTGGCCTTTCCATCAATATCCTACATGCATTCCTCGTCTCCCCCATTCGTTCTACATGCCCTGCTCAACTTATCCTCGTTGACTTGTACATTCTAATTATACTTGGAGAAGAGTACAAGTTATGAAGCTACTCTGTATTGTCCCATCCTTCCCCATACTTATTCGTACAAGGATCACGAAGATGACTCCTTCCTGTCCCAAGTAACTGCGGCCACTTCACTTGAAAGGAAAGAAAGCGTAAGACGCAAATATCACAATGGAGAAACAGAAAGATGTAAGAGGGGGCGCAGAAAATTCGAGAAGCGCCGTATGAGAGATGGGACAACTGGTTAGAAGTGTATCCCAGCAAGAAGAGGGATATGCTCTTTCAAACTGTAAACCACCATCACGCAATAGTGATAGAAAGGCTACGCAGGACTGTCCGCAGAGGACTTGAAGCAGCTCGAAGTCCACCCCGCTATACCCCCACACCACCGCAGAAGCATGTCGGTGATTCATGCATCGGCTCCGCTACCGCCACCCATTGTTATGAAGTTCCTCGCGGAAGTACATGGGGAAGACTTTTCGAGAATCAGGGCCGCGGTAGCCACCGGGGCCTGCACGAGACAGAAGTAAAAGCCATACATTTTATTGAGACACCTGCTTCCCTAAAATCAGGGCCGCGGTAGCCCCCGGGGCCTGCACGAAACATAAATAAAATTCATAATTTTATTGGGACAACTGCTTCCCTAAAATCAGGGCCGCGGTAGCCCCCGGGACCTGCACGAAACAGAAGTAAAATTCATAGATTTTATCGAGACAACTGCTTCCCTAAAATCAGGGCCACGGTAGCCACCGGGACCTGCACGAAACAGAAGTAAAATTCATAGATTTTATCGAGACAACTGCTTCCCTAAAATCAGGGCCACGGTAGCCACCGGGACCTGCACGAAACAGAAGTAAAATTCATAGATTTTATCGAGACAACTGCTTCCCTAAAATCAGGGCCACGGTAGCCACCGGGACCTGCACGAAACAGAAGTAAAATTCATAGATTTTATCGAGACACCTACTTCACTAAAATCAGGGCCGCGGTGGCCCCCGGGGCCTGCACGAAACAGAAGAAAAATTCATCGATTTTATGGAGACACCTGCTTCTCTAAAATCAGGGGCGCGGTAGCCCCCGGTGCCTGCACGAAACATAAATAAAATTCATAATTTTATTGGGACAACTGCTTCTCTAAAATCACTTCACCTTATCACCACCTTATAAAGTCGATGCAAGTTACTGAAAATAGTTTCGTACCTTATAACTACGTTGTGTTGAAACGTGTGCTTAGATTTTACGACCTTTGCTTCATCTTATTACAGCATTATCTGAAGAACTACGGGAACATCAATGTGGAAACCTTAATTCCCGATGAAGCGGGAAGAACTGCGTGGCAATTTCACGAACAGGGGCCGGCGCCACAGCACAAGCGGACCAAGCGGGCACCTTGGACAGCACGATTTTGCAACGTTTCTCCCCCATCCGCCACCACCACCCACCCATTGTCTCTTTTGCTTCTAGTTAAATGCAAATTAAGCGGCCTCCGTAGTCTAGAGGTAACGTTCCCACCTCATGACTCGTAGTACGCGGGTTCAAATACCCGGCGGAGGTAGTCGAATTTTTAAGGGCGGAAAAATTCATGGAACAAGCCCTCCGGGAGGGACTTTAAGCCGTGGGTCCCGTGTCGTAGCTTTACGGCACGTAAAAGAACCTCATATCTCCAAAGGAGGTCACTGAGCCAAATTACGGACGTTTCCCGCCCAACAGCAGTCTCTAATACCTCTGGTAGATGGGGGAAGCATTATAGATACCTCTCAGCTAGTAGAGCCGGTCTCGCTGGCTGGGCGGGACTGATGGTAAGCACCAGTACCGGTAGGATATAGAGACTGGTAGAAATCATAGAGGGAAGCACAATGGACCAATACAGGTCTAAGTGCATGGGGAAACCCACCCTCTCCAATAACTAACTAACTAAATACAAATTAATTTCAGCTGATCTTTTGTTATTACCGCAGCCATTAATTGGTAGTAATCTGAACATGTTATGCAACACTGTACAAAAATATCTTAATAAAAGTTTTCGTTAAGTGTCTAGAAGTTTCGTGCTGGTAACTGTGACGAACTTCTGAGAAAATTTAAGTTTTTAACTGCGGAGGAGGGAATGATTTCTCTTCGCCTGGGACGGTATTCAGAGCCATCCCTACCCAGCAAACTGTTGACAGGTGAAATAAGGTGCTAATTTTGATCATACCCCGTCCTCTCCTAGCTCATCAATACCGATGAAAAGGAACACCAACTCCAAGGGAAAATACACTCTCCCTTCAGACATACTATATACCTACAACCTGTTATTAATATTACTTTATCATATAAGAAGTTCTGGGAAGAACTAATCACCTACTTTCCTTTCAGGTCCAGGTTCAGTCCACACATATTGAACATTTAATACAAGGACCATGTGCACTAGTTCTTATAATGTGCGTGTGTATTAGTTACCGCTGGAACCTGTTTTCCGAGTCGTTGCCTATCAACGGCCGTCTCTTCTGGCTCCACTATTCCGCCTTACAGATATTAATGGGGGGGATACGGAGACACAGGATTCCAACGCTCAATCAGTATTTAAATCAGTGCTTCCAAAACTTTTTGACATTATGCCCTTTTCTAATTCATCATGCCACTCCTTTTTCTTGTTGAAATAAATGCGACCTCTTGCATTCGTATGCACGTGTATATTATTGCTTACGATCAACTCACTCATAATTTTAGTACTATACAATCTATGTATGTATGGCTCTACAGCCCTTTGTTGGGCCTTGGCTGCTGCTTTTTTCAGTTTCTTGCTCTTTTACACAGACGGTAGGACTCCTTGGACGGGGGATCAGCCCATCGTAAGACCACTACCTGCACACAGGACAGCACATAGAAAAACGCACACAGACATCCATGCCATGAGTGAGATTCGAACCCACGATCCCAGTGTTCGAGCGGAAGAAGAAAGTTCATGCCTTGGATCGCACGGCCACTGTGATCGGCAGTAGTGAACTAGATCGGCGAAAAAAAAATAATGGAAATGATGCACGATGCTCTTTATTTGAAGATGAATAATGCAGAAAAAAGTGGCGTGTAATCGACCATTTTTTCAAATATCTCTACTAATAGCTCTGACAGATAATTCGAGATGTTTCAATAGTTCTGAAAAAAAAAAATAATTTCAGTTGCATGTGACACTAAACACTAACTTTTCGCTCATAGTCTCCTGCACCGCTGCATGCGGTAGCGCAGTTGATTAAGGCATTATGTTACAAGCCAGAAGATCGCGGGTTCGTTTCCCCAAGGTCGATTTTTTTTTCAATTGACCTAATCCTTCCAACCGCACTTCGGCCCTGAGGTCGACTCAGCCTAAAACAGAAACGAGTATCAGGAATATTCTTGGGGGTAAAGAGAGGCCGGCGCATAAGATTGACCTCACCGCCATCTGTGAGCCGACTGTTTAGAAAATGTGGGAGCCTCGACGTCTCACAATCCTATGGGCCTCCTTGGCCTGCCACAAGGATAGCTTTACCTTTCAGTCTCAAGCCCCACTAAGGAAGGAACGGCCTCTGGTTGGGATCCATAGGTTTAAACAGCGTAACATCTAATTCACACCCAGTTTATAACATCATGTCTAACCATCTGGAGATACAAAATGCTAATCTCCTTCTAAAAGTAAATTTCTTATCAGTGGCTAAAAGGCCATTAAATGGTGCATCCACGGACCCATCCATCCACCGCACCTACATCACTCCACTGCAATAACGTGCAATAACGTGTATTCTTAACAGAATACTTCATTTTGCATGAGACTTGCACTTATACCCCGTTTTACTTTCTTTCTCTACGCTCTTCACTCGCAACTCATGAATATGGTTTAGCTTCCGTACGACTACATATCCGAGCACTGTTATTTGTAGACTGTAACTGCGTGGTTATGTGTGGTACGTTAACGTGGGAAACATAACCTTTCTTGCCAGCGATTGCCAATTGCGCTGTGAACATCGACAAATGCTGACAATGTTAGCTACGTAGGCTGCCAGAAATATGATACTTGTATGCGCATCCTACTAATCAACAGCTGGGAGCTTTTCAGAATTGCCAATGACATTCATTGGTTAGGCATATTATACAATAGAATATTACAGAATACAATAGAAAGGTAAAGTTGACCCTGTGCCTAATTAATTAAGCACTACGTCATGAAGGCCTATGGGAGAGTGGATGTATAAATACATATTTCTTGACCTCAGCACTAGCTGGAGGCAAGTACATTAGTTTTCGGTAAATTCACAAAACGGTCATGAAAAGTAGAGCGGCTTACCTTAAGCAGCATGTGCAATGACTGGTGTGTTAGAAACAATTTCACTCGCTTTCACACTATTACTTTAGTCTGTCAAAAGAATTTCATAACATAATTTTAGAACAAATTCCACTCATGTAAGAAGAAACTTGCTTCACACGTTAAGTAACAAATTTCAAACATACCACTCCGAATTCCTTACGTAACATATACCTCAAAATACGACTCCTTCGCCACAACAGTACATATCAGACTGTCTTTCGCGCACTATCGGGAAAAGGCGGTTGAACACGTCACGCAAACAGTGGGCGCTGTCAGAAATCTTTATGCGACTCTGATCGGTGACGAGAGTAACATCACTCATGACATGGTACGGAACTAGAAAATCGGTCACAGGAAAGGAACTCGCATGCCTGCAAACGGTTAGGATGAAAGAGAAACAGGTACGTGCAAATTCAAAATTCGGCTGACATTAAAAAAAAAATAATTTGGTTTATAAGCGCGGATGCCTGTATGCTGAATAATTTTTTAAAATTCGCTTAGTGGGGGGTGGAATCCAACTGGGCCCACTCGGCACGGCTGCCACTGACTGACCTATTGTAGCCTGCCCCGGGTGATTATGATGACGGAGAATTTGGTGGAATGAAGATTGGCAGGGGAAACCGAAGTACTCGCGAGAAAACCCGCCCCAGAGCCACTTTGTCCACCACAAATCCCACCTGACCATACCTGGGATCGAACCCGGGCCTCCGCGGTGGGAAGCCAGTGACTAACCACTTGAGCTATGGCGTGGCCTTGTATTTTTAAGTATCACAGTTAACATTGAATCATCTGAATATTTTGGCAAACTTAGTTCTACTCTATGAGTTTAAAGTCATTCACAAACACTTGTACTCTTAAGTGGTGAAAGAAATACACTTAGCACAACTATGATAAGGTGCTGTGCCTTATCTTTTTTTCATATATATCCATGCAGCTACCAATTTGCTGCAGAGATTAATGGAGAGCAATTGGCTCCATTAGTTTTGTCTCTATTAATATCTAGAATCACTTGATATTACAACACTTAACCAAACTTTAGTTCTTTTTATAACACATTTTTGTTGTTGCTTCAGGTATCCATCCCAAATACTGGAAAGTATGGTTTAATCTGAGTAGACAAAAAAAGAAAAAATTCAATTATTTGAAAGACAAAAATACATTGAGTCAAATTCAAGAAACTGTTTAACAAATGAAACAAATACTATGTCACAGAACGGCCACACATAACAGCAGATCTCTCTTTAAGCTAATGCCATGACAATGGCTGTCACTAATTATAATTAGTGACAGCCATTGTCATGGCAATAATTATTGCAATATTAACTTTTGATGTAAATCTGAAACCAGGTAGCAAAAAGGTTCACCATTCCTAACCTGTGGTGCCATCCATAATAACAGATACACGCTCAGAATATCCCAGGTAATACAGTCTCACATGTTCAGGAATGCATTCATCAATAATTAAAAAATACACCAAAGTATCCTCTTCCACCTCCTAGCCAGACTATGGACATATATAATCAGACCATGAGACAATCAGTTCACAACAATTATAAAATATATATACCAAAGAAATTCCATGCCATTTATTGAAACAAAGTTACTTACACAAACCCACCACTAGACCTTATTCTAAGCCAAATAAAACCAGCTCATATCATTACACCTCACTTCTTTAAGATCCTATTTAATATTATCCTTCCATCTGTAGTTATCTCTTCAAAAAGTCTCTACCTATCACATTACTATGTCAGTATATTACTGAAAGTTATGTCTAAATTTATTTTCTTTCAGTATTAGCTTATATTACTTTCCTTTGTATAGTGTAGTCGGTATAGCAACTGGCTAAGGGCTGGACGACCGGTAGGGTCAAGAATTTTTTCTTCTCCATGTCGTCTAGACCAGCTCTGGGGCCCACCCAGCCTTCTATCCAATGGGGTAAAGCGACCGGGGCGTGTAGCTCCACCTCCAACTAGTCTGAAGGTCGAGAAAATGTGGATCTTTACATCCATCCCCCATATGCCTTCGTGGCACAGTGCTTAACTGGTTAAGCACAGGGACTTTACCTTTTTTTATTACTTTCAGTGTAATATACTGTTCATTTATTAAAGGACTGCATAAGTAGTATCAGTGCTAGAGCTACTTTTGCCAATTCTTATGGAAATATTGAATCAGCTGATACCATCTCACTGAACGTCGTCCTTTTCTAGGAATATCATTGCAAAGTAAAATCATGTTTACTAGTTTGTGATAGGTTGTAAACCAGGCTCTCAGAAGCCACATGGCTGGCAACAAATGGAGGACTGACAGCACTTTAGGTGGTGCTCACGTCATACTAAATGTTGCTATATTGGTACATTCCTGTGAGTGAATGCCTTTTTTCAGCCATTGTTACAGATGTGACATATGCATAACATGAGTGCCTAAAAGTGATATTCAAGACACTTACCTCAGGTTGATTACCAAGATACATCCAAAAGTATATTTACACTAAGTGAATGAAGCTCAGGGTATGTAGGGAGACCAACTTATCCTGAAATCCACACAGTGTATTTTGAGCTAATCCCAACCCAATAGCATGCTGTCACAGAGGGTCACTCAATGAAGTGGCATGCAATATAAATGTGCCATCCATCAAGTTTCATTAGTGTCTTGCAAAGGGCTCAAAATAAACAAGTCAAAGTCAAGTTAGGTCTCGAAGTAAAATGATTAAAATAAAGTAAATAAAAACACTTGATCATCTGTACATAAGGCACACGTCCTACTAGAATTTTAATCAAAGTATATCAAAAGACTCAAAAGTTGATGTTAACTCTCAATTAGGCCCCTAAGGAAAGTGACTCTTGCAGAAAATTAAATGAATAATTTTTACTCACAGAATGCAAGTGCCAAATATGTTTTATCAAAATCTGTAATAAGTCTCAGGTCCAATTATGCATGAAAATAGAGTGAAGTATAACAAAGTGCCCTCACAGTAAATTAGAGACAACGAAACCTGTGCAGTAACTTCACGATTACAAAATTCCACATATGTTTGTCACACATATTAATTTATAAAGTGACTGAAAAATTTACCGTATATAGAAAAGTCCACTGAAGATGGTTCAGTAAAGCCCAAATGAATCTGAAATAGTAGTATCATCAACGGGACTGAAGTGTCAAAATTTACTGCAATACTGTTCACAGTTGGCACCACTGAAAATCTACCTCAAGTAAAATGGACTTCAGTTTCAAATATAATAAGGTTATTATGATAGGAGAAAAATAAGAAAAGGCTGCTTTGATTACCTGAAATTTCATTGCTTAATAGTTTTACATACACTATACAAAAGCACATGCTGAAATATATTATAAAATTGTGATCTTATCAAAGTACAGTAGGTGAAAAAAAAATGTATAATTACACAAACAGCATAATCTTTGGCATCAACTACAGTTCACAAATATGGGGATTATTATGATATGTACTGCATGTTTCAGACTGAGCCAGATTTCATTATGTTTATTGTATATCCACTTGAAGGCAATAACCATGAATTAATACGATGCACATAATTGAGCCAGTGAGCGTGTTTGATAAATCTACATTGCAGGATCCTGTTGCATTTTTACCACATGGAACTAAATTCAACCATCACTTCTAGCATAATACAAACACTATTGTTTTGACCATGTATTTACACCACTTCATGGCAAATAAAAGTAAGAAAACAACATATTTCAATTAATAAGCTGTCATTACATTCACTGTGTACCAAATTACTTTTATGTATGTTAGTGTGTAAATAACAGAAGTGCCCCAACTTATGTAAAAGAATATTCGTTTGAATACCTACTAATAAGTCACTGGACATTTATGAATATCCAAGATGCAGTTCGCAGTCTATCTACCAGATTTGAAATATATTCCAAATTAATTTGCTTGTGTGTTCAACTTAACGCATATTTTAATAATTCTTACAATATTACTGCTAATGGAAAACAATAACTTTTGTTATGAAATTGAAAATCTGAGCTGATGAAGCATTATGCTTAGAAAATTTCAGTGCAATTCCATTCAGCAAGGAACAATTTCACAAATGCAGTACACTGAGACACATTTATATAACAAAAACATGCAATTACATACATCCTCATAAAGTTAAGTTTAAAATCACACTTCATCAGTGACAAAAATGGAATATTCTTAAATGATTTTATCAAAACTTCTGCACCACATATAGTTCAAACTGTTTCTTATAACTTTTTCCTATAACGTTCTTTTGTGGTTTTTCTGATTCAGCCTGTGAAATAAAAACATGTATGAGAACTATATAAATGTGAAGTAACTCCTGGACACACACACAAAACACAAGCATACAAAGTACAATAAAAACTACATAATGCAAACCTAACTGATCATTCTGTACATAAAATATATACTAAAACACTGAAGTAGACCCCTTAAGCATACTATACATGTCAGCATAAATTATTTTCACTGGAGCAACACAGAAAAGCACAAACCTGGAAGAAATTATAACAACTAATTCAGAACTATAAATTTGTAAACATCTGACCAAAATCTTGAGTATATAGTTATGGACAGTGTCATTACATTTAATTGAAGAATATAAAAATCCAACCACTTTCAATTCTGGAAAGGAGCATTTTATTATCATGATAACAAATTTCAAGAAACATGAAAACTGTTCTTTGTCTAGACTGATTACAATTTAAGAATGGATACAGATGAAGGAGACTGTATGACACTCTTACAAACTCTCATTATATGAACAGTAATTAATATACCTCATTACTGATCAGTATTTTGTATTGATTCAATTATGTAACTGTTGCCATTCTTCAGTATTATACATGAAGAAAACTCCAGACGATCAAAAATCTCAGCCATGACTCTGATGCTTCCATTTGTTTATGTTTTCAAAGCTGCTTTACAAATGTTAATTAATAAATTTTATATTGCAAAATAATCTGCAAAAACAAAAAAGTTCTTTATCAGTATTTCCCTGTTTTATGACATCTATGAAAATACATACAATATTGTGTGCTCACAGTATGACCTTACAGTTTCTTCAGCTGGATAAAGTATCACATTAGACATTAAAATAATTGAGGACTACAGACTTATATTCAACTACAGCAGCTCCAGTGACTTCTCTGTAGACCTGTACCTATCCTTGTACTGCAAAGGGGT